CTCTCTCTCTCTCGATTCCCGTGTTCCAGTTGCCTTCTTCACCTTGTTCTGCATAATATTATGTACATGTATTGAACTTGAACGTCAGGAGATCCGGCTGGACTGTTTTAATTAATGATTTAAAAGTCCGATCTTAGTGTCCTTTAGATTTTGTCCGTTAATGTTGTGTGTTTGAAATAAATAATTTGTGGCAAATATCGGCTTTTGGTCTCGTTTCCTTTTACTTTTACCTTGATAAACGAACTGCTCAGTTTCCCCACTTGATTTACCTAGTTTCTCGTCCTCCGCGAGACACGCCATGGAACGGAATAGAACAACAGCGTGTCATGTCCACACTGACTGATTGCTCTTGTAGCTCTAATTTAATTTTTCCTGGCTCTGCTAGTGCTAGCATCTGCGTTTGTTGCCATTTTTTGGTCCAAAAGTTGCCACTAAAATGGCAAAAGTTGCCCAAAAAGTTGCCACTAAAATGGCAAAAGTTGCCCAAAAAGTTGCCATTAATTTTTAATAATTTTAAGCTTTCAACTCTCTGTGACGGCGTATATTATATAGCGTGTTTGTAGAGTTAACTTCATCTGAAGCACCAGAATTTCTTGTGCTCCGTTTTATGCAACCAGAATATCATTTGTAGCCACACAGGTTGTAAAACGTGAAAAACATAGGTTTCATATCAGAATGAAATCAAAATTAGAACAGCACACAAACAACTACAAACATTAACAAATAAAGACGTGTTAACCTATACGAAGATTGGCCGTTTTAACCATAAACATTTGTAATATAGGAAAAAGTACAAGATATTACTTCATGTAAGACTTACATGTAAATTATGGAATCTCACACAAGGGGCCTGCCAGTGTCACTGTCAGATCGATGTCTTTTGCTCCGACCAGTTTAAGTGACTTACTTCATCCCAGGGGCACCGGCCCACCGGGAATTTCCCATTGGTACCTTAAAGTAACAAATATTTCCCTGGACGAAAAACTAAAATACATTTGACTACATGAAAAGAAGGCATCTAACTCGTTCTACCATCCTCGCTGAGACATTTGGATGTAATGTATATCTTCGCTTGGTGTATTCGTCTCAGTCACTATCATCATCATCATCCCCTCTTCCTCCTCTCCTCCTCCTCCTCCTCCTCCTCCTCCTCATCCTCCTCCTCCTCCTCAAATAAATAATATCTCAGTTTGCCCTAAGACAGACAACCCATCCTAGTTATCCCAGTGACAGATTTCCTGATCCCAGACAACCCTCGTACTTGCATTCTTTGCAGACTGGACCAAATGAAAAAAAGACAAAGCAATTTTCAATAGACTTTATAGTTTAAAAAAAAGACCAACTGCAACCGCTATTTATTATATCCAAATCGAGCCCAAATAGGACCTCTCCAGAAGAGAAGAAGTTCTATTAACCTGGCTACATATTGGACCTACCTCCATGACGTATAAATACCTACTGCACTGCAGGGAGATTTTAAAAATAATTTTGTATGGGATACCATACTGGTTTTGCTAGCAGGCACATTCTAATAGAGTATCTGCACTTTGGAGTTACTCGATCAAAATATTTTACACAGACTACCCTAAAGAATATGTTGGACTCTGTAATAGCATTCTGGCCTCCCTGGCGTGTCCACTTCCCCGTTTCTTTCCGTGGAGTGTCCTTTTCCTATTTGCACACTTTTTCCACATTCTATGCGCTCTTGTTCTTTTCAGAATTTACATTTCACACTGAAGAATAGTGTAACATTTTATTGCTTTATTCTTTTGTTGCTTGAATATTATTCTACTTCAACCCCCACCCCTCCCCTCCCTGCAAGCGCCGTAAAAACTCTGACCAAAGAAACAAACCCACAGTATGCAGTATGCAATTACATCGTAAGCATTTATAGTAACATTTTCACACTGTTTCTAAAATACTTATGAAGATACTTATACATCTTTATTAAAGGAAATGAGACTGCAAGCAAAAAATATTTGTATTGCGAAGTTTATTAATAAACTGCCAATATAGGTAAGTTATCAGATCAATATGTAAACATTTTTATGTATGCTTATAATAGTACTGAATGTGCATAACATGAAACAAAAGCTATAAATATATGTGTAAATACGAATATTTTATGAAGCTAAAAATTGTTTAGAGTTAACAAAATATATTACAAACAAAAGTACAGATAAAATCTGAAAATTCCAATATCAAAGTCAGATATAAAGTAAATAGAGAAAGAGGTTGGTCAGTGTAGAGAGACCTGGTCATGCAGTGTTGCATTGGTTCCCTGTTACTGGTCTAAAGAAACCGCTGGGAACACTTGAGCTGTAGGAGAAGCACAGGACAATGATGTGGTCCCGTGGAGAGTCCTGCCCATACTGACAGTGGAATGTACAGAAGAATCACAAGTGTTTGTAACAACAACAATATGTGAGGCAGCGTGGTGGAATGAGGCTCTGGTCAAAATAATCAAAGTGAAGAAACTTGCATTTTTCCGTGGGTTTATGAATTTTTATTAGTTGTTTTTTTTTTTGGCTCGACACCTTTCATGCCCATTAAATAGCTCATTTCTGTAAGGATTTTTGTGAGACATGTTGATTAAAGGCACACAAAAATGTAAATTTTCAGTTACCACGCACTTTTAAGCTAAGGAAATAACTAATCTTTGGCGGCCATTTTCTCACTAATATTACCTCTGAAAACAGGTGACCCCCACCCCCTTCATTCGCAAATATCTCGATTTGTATTCAAGAAAAATGGCTATTTTTTTCACCCAAATAAAGACAAATGAACAAGCTTTAAGATGATACCAATAACTCTCCATGCTCAAAAATGGACGAGAGCCTGATTCCACCACGCTGCCTCACCTATGTCCATCCATCACAGAGGCAAAGAATGTAGAATAAACTGCCGCTAGTTAAGTCATCATTCTTCTGACCCCATAAGAACATAAACCAAAACAGGAATTCTCAACAATGATTCAAGGACAAAAAGCAAACTTGTACGTTCACTCAGCATCGCTACTCTTGACCAAGGGGGAACAATTAATACCGAGGTTCTCTTGATGTACAGTACATCTAGAAAGTTGTGTTTGAATTCTGAACTATTATATCTTTTTTGAAGTTATAAGTACTGGGGCTCTTTAGAAAGGATCACTGAACCATTTCGCCAGTGGTTCTCACATATTACAGACAACAATGCAAATTGTAGCTTGCATTAGAAGGAGACATATATATTCATAGTTCTCAACACACAATGACTGTAGTGACAGTATACATTTTAAATAATGCAAAAAGATACACTTTATAATATATATATATTGTTCTATGACAGTATGAAGATTGTTTGATCAATCTCTGCGTAATTCGAATAAATACCTACATTCTCCCACTGATGCTTGATGATTGTGACAATACGACATGTTTACCGGAGTATGTATTTGGCTAGTTAAGCTCTAGTTCACATTGAAATTACACACAGCTATCTGTACATCTACCTGCCTCAATACAAAATATAAATTAGATTATTGTCTACTTTCAACGGTGACAAACCTGTCTTCAGTGAAGCGTTTTTTTATTGGAGTTAGCAGTAGTATACATTTCAAAGTACTAGTGACATAATGGAAGCCTTTCAATACTTTCATACACTATACACAGGGGTGACTTGAAAAACAGTTTATCGATGAGTGTTTAGAAATTTATTTATTTTACTACCATCACCAAATGCAAAAAATAATGAAATCACTTTCAAGTGATCATCGTAAAATCTTTAAAAAATATCATGGAAAAATAACAAGAAACAAAGTCAAAGATCAATGTAGTTTATTAAGGCAGTTGAAAGCATCTTTGACAAAGTACACTTTTGACGATTTGAATTTCAAGTCCTTATTCAAAACTGACCTACCACTTCTGTTAACTACACACATTTGTGAATATAACAAACATAAGAACATTTCAGTCCCCCCCCTTCCAGAACAATAAGTATCTTCGGAGGAGCATAAGAAAAAAAATGACAACTTACATTCGGTGTAACACCTATGGAAAGACTTTTTCAGACACACATACATCCAATGCTACTTTTGTCTTGAGAAAAGGTGAACAACAAAAAAAGAAAAGCAACAACAACAAAAATGAAGCCGCACACTCATACCGTACAAAAATACTGAACTTCAAATATCCTTCAAACTCGGCACATAACTAATGGAAACAAAAGTAGCAATAAATAAACACTCTCAGTGACCAGTTAGCTAAACATTTAGAAAAAACAGGACAGGCGGTCCTTCGATGTGTTCTTTGCTTGCAAATGCATTATATGTATAATAATGTATTCAGCATGGTATAACAGCAGCAGTCTTGGAGCATATGTCAATAACTAAAATGAACAGGCGAACCAAAACAACTTTCACAGGCATATACGAACGTGCCAATAGAACAGCTCTCCATTTATTGCAAAAATAGTACAAACCACATACATGAGACAGAACAACAGTAAATATATACGAGTCCTGAACCGTATCAAACAAAAATAAATTTGCAAAATCTTACTTCAATAAGATTGTTTTCTAGTTGTGCCAAGAACGATCTCTGTGCAAAGTTTATCCCTGAACAAACTGTGCCCAAGTTCTACTTTGTCCACATAATTTTGGTATTTGTTATAGCTTTTGTGTCAATCTTCATCTTACATGATTTTTGTTTTTTGTTTGTCTTCTGAACATTGAAAGAAATTATGTGTTTTATGAAACATTTGTCATTGGCCCATGCTTGCTATTGTTATGTATCTATTAGGACACACTATTTTCATAGATATCTGTTACGATGACTTACATTTTCTCTCAATATGCACAGATGTCTCCCAAGTGGTTTCTATCAGATGCAAGATATTCACACAAAAACTGTCAATAAATAATGAGGGACGAGTTCCCTGGTAAAAGCTGTTTTACGCTCCTGAAATTTGGAGGGGCCCACGCAGTTATAGAACTCTTAGAAGTAATTGTACAAATAAAAACTTAAAGTTTCTCTTACTCGCAAAGGTTTTTAATTTTTCTTGAAAGAGCAACAAAAAGATGAAAAAAACCCTGTAAATTTCTTTCTATGTGGGTCTCAAGAACAGGTCAGAAGGCACCAAAGAGAATGTATGTTGCCCGTGAGATCTTTTAGTTGGAGCTGACCATGCAAATACCATTGCAAAAGTTTTTTGTTTTTTCCAGAAGTAACTTTGGCACAGGACGCCAACTTTATATAGCTTTAACTTTTTACACAAAAATGCGGGTGGAAAAACCAATGCTCTGACAAATCTCACTAAGACTTCAGTAGAAGCGTGACTGACTGTGTCAAGGGGGGCGGGGGTTTCAGAACTCCTCCCTCCACCCACCGTAGCCGCTGTTGCGGCTGACGTTGTGGCTGTGGTGGCTGTTGTGTAGGAGGTGGCTGCTGCCGTTGCTGGAGTACTGGGAGTGGCGGTGTTGGCTGGCCAGGCTGCTGTTGTGTGGGCCGTGTGGGCCGTGCGGCACATGACCTCCGTTCATGCTCTGTTCGTGCAACATCTGCTCCAGCTCCTGCTGGGTGTCCAGGATGTGCACTTGGAATGGGGAGCCCGGCACGTCCACGTTCGACCATCTGGGGAGGACGAGAGCGGAGACACTCGATAAAACAGGGGTGCCGATTTTACAGGGTGTGTGCACATGTGCTCATTTCACTAAGCTTTATTTAAAACATACGAGTAACAGCCCCCCCCCCCCCCCTCAAACCTACCTGTAGCTGCCTTTTGCACAAAAATGTTTACCTTAAGACATTAAGTGTATGTAATTATTACTAAATTATTACTTTAATTGTGTATAATTGTTTTATTGCCTGCTTTAACTCATTCGCTACGCCGAGCCGTGGGGGGCGGCGCGGCTTGAGTGCCGTCAGTACGCAAAGCCGCCCCCGGCGGCTCGAGAACTTACGTTCAATTTTAGCTTGGTTTCTATTCCAATCCACATATCCATGTTAAAATAAAGGTCATAATATAAAGTTGACTTCCGGGTCAAGTGTTTACACCGAAAATCGGAAGTTTTGATTCAGTTTTGAAACAGGATTTCGAAGTTTATGCGACATTGTTTTATCGCGAAGCCCAAATTATAGCCAGACACCAGTCTTTGTACTTTTACACAACAAAATGTATAACTATTTTGCTCACTAAAGAAGTGTAGGACTCTTCTTATAATATTGATACTACTGGACTCAAATTGCCAGTGCACTGTAATTGAGAAATCAATATTTTTGAGTGCTAGATCTAGGCCTTGATCTAAATTGTCAAAATATTTTTTTCCTCCCAAAAATCACTACTTTTTGGTGAATTTACTCAAAAAGTACCACCCAAGACATGTATAGGTTTATTCCAAATGCAATTCTGAATAATTCCATATAAGATACGAGTGTTTTTTTCTGTTTGGGATCCTTTTTTCAAAATTATTTTTAAAAAAATGTTTTTTCAATATCGGAGGTTACGATCCAAATGTACAAATATTATGGAATGTATATGTAAATAACTGCTCATTTTTCAATATTCTCCTGTTCTATATACAGTTATGGTTATTTTGATGGATAATTTGACTAGGTGCAAACATATTTTTTGAGTTTCATCTGAGATTATAAATTTTTTGTTTTCAAATTTTATCCGCAACCAATCACAATTGTGTTGCATAATCGCCTCTTACAGGAACCAAAGTTGAAAAATACTCAAATAAACATTACAGATGTATTCTACAAACCATACTGAAAATGTTGGTATATAATATGTTGATATTTATTTGAATTTATGGCCCCCAAGACCTGTGAACTGCGCACTAGTCATCTCATTTCGCCCTCCCGAAAGAAATTTGTCTACAAGCCGAAAATAATACGTAGCGAATGAGTTAAAACATTCCAACTTATAAATTTATTTATATTTAAAGCTCATTGTGTTTGTCACTTTGCAATTTCTGCACAAATAGTCTTGGTACCGTACCAGACGTATTAAGCAGTATGATCTGTACATTTGGAGCCCTTGCCCATGTGATTTCTTAGGGTCCAAACAGTTTTTATTTCGTTTTTTCAGAGCCAGTTGGCACCTTTGATAGAATATCTTCTCCACAAGGGATATGGACGTTTAACTTGTATTTGCAATGGCAAAGAACTTTGACTGTTACTCCCCTGATGGTTCCGATCTTGAGGCAGGGCCAAATGTAAAAAACATTAAACACCTCTTTTATTAAACCCTTTGACAAAATTATGACGCCATTCTAGAGGAATACGGTACCAAGCATGATTGAGAGAAATTTGGAATAATGATATATGTCTATCAACTATATCATGCACTGAGCAAGTAACCTAGCTAGTCGCTTGAAAATGATTCGATCAACAGAGAAGACACACAAGTTAGCCCACAGTACTTTTACAGTTTTATTGCCAGCTGACTCCTGAAGAGAATTCGCAGATAGACTTTGGCAATGATTATAAAAACAAAAAAAAGGTTGTCGTTATTCTTTCAGTTGCACGGTTCTTTAAGTTATCAGCAATATTTTTCTCAGACGACTACTGCAATTATGAAGTTGACACCTCAGGGACGTGGACCTACCTGACGTGAATGATGTACAGGCCAGTCACGGTGGGATAGTACCGGCACAGGATGGTACGATCTTTCTGACTCTCTCTGTACATTTCCACCTGGAACGCTCCTGGAGACAGACAGTGAGCACACATTATGCATTAAATTGGTGCTTGTATTCCTTGCACTGGCTATACTCAACCCAAAAAAATAGAGATAAAATAGTGTGACAACAATAACTCTGTGCATGCAAACTGTTAGCGAAGTAATGAATAATGTTTTTGTATTTTCATTTCTGAAGATTCAACATTAAGCAGAACTGAATTAAGTTTTTTTAAATTGAATAATCCTATCCTGATGTTAGTTTTCCAGAATCTTGTTTCATATGTTTGGTTTACATGTTTTGTCTTGATGTACAACTGAGCAATACATTTGTGAGACATCGTGGTGAAATTAGGCGCTTGTCAAAATGATGAAATTGAAGAAAACAGCATTTTTCTGTTAGTTTGGCACTTTTCACTGAATTTTGGTTTTTGGCTCAACAGCTTTTATGTCCATTTAAAAACACATTTGTATGGATTTTTATAAAAGAGCCTTGATTAAAGGCAGAAAGAAAAGTGAATATTCAGTTTTCAAGGATTCTAAAGCTATGGAAATCACCAACTTTGAGGGACATTTTCTTGCTTATTTTGCCTTTGAAACCAGGCGACCCCTCCTCTTTAATCGCAGATATCTCGACTTCTACTCAAGATAGATGGGTATTTTTTTTTTCATTGAAAGCAAGACAAATAAACAAGCTTTAAGATTATACCAATAACTCCAAATGCCCTAAAATTGAGGATAGCCTGATTTCACCACGATGCTTCATGTTTGTGTATGTGCCTTTGGAAACAACTCAAAACCTGACTATACTATGAAAATTGGGACCACTGTGGTTCCTGTCAGAAGGAAAGCTAGCAATTTTGAATGTGCTACTTTGTAAACTTTTCAAATATCTGGAAAGGTTTTTGTAAGGGAAAAGAGTTCATAGCATCATCAGCATCATGTTTTAGAATTGGAAGTGTCTACGTCCTCCCCGATTGGGGTCTAGGTAGTCATGGTGTCTAGGTGGACCCCAAAACTGTTGGATTGTGATTGGCTCGCTGAGCGAGCGGTAGTTTACATTGGTTACAATGCAAGGCTACTGATCATCTCGGGCGGTGTGTCGATATAGTGTTACTATAATTTATTTATTTAAGCCCAGAGAGAGAGTATTTAATTAATAAACGTATCTAGATCTAGAATCTAAATCTAGACCGAACTGCACACTCTTGGCTGGGTGCACAACAAAATCTAGATCTAGATCTAGATACGTTTATTCATTAAATACTCTCTCTCTCTCTCTCTCTCTCTCTCTCTCGCTCTCTCTCTCTCTCTCTCTCTCTCTCTCTCTCTCTCTCTCTCTCTCTAGGGGAAAATACATTAATTATAGTAACACAAGATAAATCCAATCACTACCCGAGATGATCAGTAAGTAGGCCAAGCAGCCGTGCATTGTAACCAATGTAAACTACCGTTCGCTCAGCGAGCCAATCACAATCCAACATTTTTGGGGTCCACCTAGACACAATGACTACGTAGACCCCAATCGGGGAGTATGTAGACACTTCCTTTAGAATTACAGTGGAGTCAGCTGAAACCGAACATTGTTAATCCTAAAACAGTGCTAAACCAAAAGAAAAGAATCCCAATTTTTTTTTTCTTCTCTCTTGGAGCAATTCTTGGAGTCAACATAATTTGATAAGTAGGCACCAAGTCAGAGTAGTCCTACAATGGATTCCTGCCCACACTGGGATACCGGAAAATGAAAGCGCCGATGCTCTAGCAAAGAAAGGAGCTAGCCTCCCTCAGCCTGAAATTCCTACTGATTACACCACCTGCTGCCAAATGATCAAGTCAAACCTCAAAGAAGACTGGATGAATGATTGGGACCACAGGTACGACAGGAAGGATGATGATGTATGGCCACATGAATAAACCACTGGTCAAAGATCCAATCAATGAGTTGAGGAGGGGAGATCAATCCATAATCTTCCAACTTAGAAAACAACATGTACCCCTCAACCAACATCTCAACCGATTGGAGTAAAGCAGTATGCTGCCTGCCCACAATGTGACTACCCTTGAGAGACAGTGGAACATCATCTGTTCTTCTGTAGAAAACTAACTTATTTAAGGGGATATTTTCTTCCCAAGCTACCCCACACATCTAATTGCCTCTACTCCTCAAGACAACAATTAGAACAGACATGCAGCTATTACCGAATGGCATCATGCAGAAGAGTTAACGCTCAGATGCTACTGGATCGCTAACAACAACAACAACAATATTGGAGCAATTCGTCTAAATAAAAAACCCCAGAAAAGCTAAGAAAATGTGGCAGTCCTACAGATTTTGGTTTTAGAACAAACTGAACTGTATAAAAAATTATGTGTCGTTATCCTTTCCGCATATTTGAAAATCGATTCTCACTCATTTTGGTGCTTTGCTTTTTCCAAACATTGTGAACTCTTTCCGCTTATTTACATGACATTTGGACAAGTTGATCAAGTAAGTATTGAAATTTCTGTTTCAGATTCTCTCTCTTTATCTCCTTATGAGGCTGGGCAAGCCTGAGAGGTCCTCCATTACCTGCTGCACGTACAAGGTGTTGACGAGATGGCGCAATGGTCACACATAATTATGTACATACATACACAGGAGGACTGAACCAACCTTTGGGTCCTCTGATGCGTACGGTGAGCTGTCCAGCCCCTGCACCACGTGTTTCCACAACAAACTGACTCTGGAAGTGAGCCAGGATGCCATGCTCCACACCAGGCCCATGGACTCGCACCTTGGAGGCGTCAGGCTGCGCAGACACTTTAAAGGGGAACGGACTCCCTGGGGAAAACATGATATTAGAATTACGTAGTGAAAAATGAATGAAAAGAAATCTGACATTATCTCAGCATACTCTATAGAGACAGAGAACAAGTCTTGGTTGTCTAACTGGCAGCTGTTGGGTAATGGTTCGATTCTTTGCTGTTAAACAGAGAAGATGCGGGTTTTTAGCTTTAGTAAGAGTCTTACGACACTTACAACACAATAAGGTCATATAAGTGCCGAAGATTAGGTGTTAAAGAGTGTAACAAACATAAAAAAGGAGGAGAGATCAGAACGATGGATGTTTGCTAGGAAAGAAGGAGGAAACCAAACCAGAGCACCCGCCAAGTAGGGAATTATTTTATGGAGTATTTGAGTGAACAAAGCAAACTGAAACAATTAAGGTCATTTGGTGAAAGTAAAAGCATGAGAGATAAACAGATTTACCTGGGGAAAAGAAAATAGGACCTATCAGTGGCACCTTCCAACCAGTCACAACTCTCTCTGCATGTGTTCCCCTACTTTCCATGGCTCACCCTGCACATGTAGGCCTATGTCTGACTCACCCTGCATGCATGTGTCCCACTCTCTCTGTAGGCCCCCTACGTATGTTTGATTCACCCTGCACGTACGTGTCTAACTCATCCTGCACATATGACTGACTCACCCTGCATGTATGTGTCTAACTAACCCTGCTCATGTCTGACTCACACTCACCCTGCACGTATGACTGACTCACCCTGCACAGGAATGTTTGACTCAACCAGCATGTGTCTGACTCACACTCACCCTGCACGTATATGTTTGACCCGCAATCACCCTGCACATATATGTCTGACTCACCCTGCACGCATGTCTGACTCACCCTGCACGTGTTCTCCTCCATACTGGATCTTGAGCACATGTCTCCCTGTCTCCTGCGGCCGGACCACCAGCCTGTAGGTACCGTCATGGTGGTCACTCAGCTCACAGTGGGCTACTTTGGTGGGACCCTCGCAGTAGGCGGTCAAGTCACCTGATGGCACGGGCAGGGAGAGTTGGGAGTAATTTTTTTTTTCAAATAGTAGAGGGTTTTACGGCGCTCGGAACTGCATAAGATCATATGAGCTCCAAGGGGTGGGTGTCAACAGAGAAGTCTTTACAGGGAATCAGACTTACTCTGCTCACCTCTCTAGCTTCAACAGCACAAAGTCTGCTTCGACTATCAAGGCACCCCAAAATAGCAGGTCACAAGAGAGTGACAAACATACAAAAGAAGTAGAGGAAAATGACAATAGTAAGGATCAGGAAAGAAAAAGCAGCAGTTCCCTGTTGTAGATCAGGCACAGTTGTGAGCGTGACAAGAGTCAGCCCATTTATAATTCTACTATGCTTGAACGAGAAATGTCCCCCTTTTGGGAACGGCTTAAAGACACTTCAGACAGTGGCACTGCCCGGGGGGGGGGGGGGGGAGTTGGAGTAAGCAGAAGTACATGGCCACAATAACGCAGCCATTTAGTATGATACAGTGCTGGGAGAAAGCAAAGATAGGTTGTCTTTTTTTTTTTTTTGGAGTAGGCCTACAAAGAAGAACATCGACACAATAATGGTCCATCAGTAAACACAGGGAAAAAACAGGACAGACTGGCATCAAACGTTAAAGAGAAGCATGTGGAAAGACACAGTTGAGAAATGGTCATGGTAAAAGTAAAAAAGCAATACAAAACAGACATCAAACCATGGAGGAAATGGACAGAAATAAGAGCTACCAGTGATGCCCACCAACCATCCACGGAGAGATCGTTGGTGTATATTAAGTAGGCCTACAAACACATACAGTCTGCCATATACATTATAATGAAATTACCGGTACGGAATAATCTTTAGATGAATTTTGCTATGTACCTGTTTTATGCACAAAGATACACATGTATAAGAAAAACTTTAGGACTTGAAAATCTGTTTTCTATGTGCATGCTACACTGTATGTAGGTCAACTACGTAGGTCAAATATCCAGCAGATGGAGTACGCTCTGAATAAAATCATGTTGGAGGCAGTAAGGAAAATTTGAACACTTCTTCTCACTTTTAACAGTGGATTTATGTAATTGGATATATGCAGCAATTTTAAATTTAGTAAGAGTTTTACGGCACTTGCAACACAATAAGGTCATATAAGTGCCAAAGATTAGATGTGTTACAAGAGAGAAACAAACACAAAAAAGGAGGGGAGATGAGGACGATAGATGTTTGATAGAAAAGAAGGAGCAAACCGCACCAGAGCACCCGCCAACATGCAGCAATGATATCCTCAGTGAAAGTACAGTACAGCACGGAGAGCTCAAATTCGTCTTGTCCTGCCTTGGTAGTTCGAGGGATATTTTACAAAGATAAAGAAGGAGGAAAAAAGAAAAACAGGACCACAGACACAGTTTGATGGATGCCTAATTTAGAGTCTTATGTGTTCAAGTTCAAGCTATCCGTGTTATGCTGTATATGTGTCACGACGCGGTAGAATCAGGCGCTCGTCAATTTTTGGGCATTTGGAGTTATTGGTATCATCTGAAAGCTAATTTATTTGCCTTGCTTCCAATGAAAGAAATATCCATTTATCTTGAATAGAACTCAAAATATTTGCGATTGAAGGAAGCGAGGTCGCCTGGTTTCAGTGGTGAAATTATTTTTAAAAAGGCTGCCTGTCATATTATTTTAGTAACTCCAATAGCTAAAGAGTCTTTGAAGACTGAAAAATGACATATTGTAAGCATTTCAACAATGTCTTTCATGAAAACTCAGACAGAAATGTGTTTTCATATGGAAATAAAAGAGGTTAAGCAAAAAATAAAAAAACTGGATGAAAATTTCCAAACTGGCGGAAAATGCCTGTTTCTCCGATTTCCTTAATTTGACGAGCGCCTGATTTCGCCAGTCTGCCTCACATGCACAGTCATATGCTTGGATAGGCTTGTAGCTGGAAATGAAAAGATATAAAATGAGGAGGCTGGTGCCTGTTTGTCACTCGGCCAGGGATGGTGTCAGTGTCAGCGACAGGGAAGACAACCTGCTTGGAGACATTTCACCATTCATGAGCACTCTGAAAAAAATTAGGTCTGTCATCTGTGTATGCATTAACAAGGACAAAAACTCAGTTCAGCTGCAATGAGCTTGGATAAATATGGGACATTGACAGTAACACAAAAAAGTCAAAACATAAGACCACAATAGAGGTAATATGTTAAAGATTAGATATGAATAAAATCAGTAGCTTTTAAGCGGAAATAACTTTGAACATCCAAGAGCTCCCATACAGAAACAACTTTAAAACCCTCTTGTCGATAAGAAAAAAGTTGGCTATAGGCCTACAGAATACAAGATGTACAGGAAGTTTTGTTAAGGAAAGGGACTACAATAAGATTGAGACACAGCTTCACAATGTAGGTACACCACATACGTGTGAAATTGTAGTTGTTAAAATAAATCAAGGTAACAGCACCTTGGCAATGGTACATGTGTAGCAATAGTAAGACGCTGAAACTGAAAGATTAATTTTGTTTTTCTGAAGCTCAGTTACCAACCAAATTTAGTCGTAAGTGAGTTGCCATAAGCTTATTGATTCAATTCCTTCTCACGTGAGTAAAGCATGGGCCTAAAAACTACTGGAAGCCTACATCTTTCAGATAGCTCTCATCTGCAGATTAGAGATTTGAGCACCTGCTGATAAACTGACAAAAAAAGACATTTCTTACCATAACAAAAGCAGTGTAACCTGCATACATCTCTCACAAAAGTGATTTAATATATTACATTGGAATCCAAAGAACCGTTGCGAGACTTTTAGCAACTCCAAAAAAACTAGTGAAGTAACAGCTTAGTTTTTGAATTGAGACATTGAAGAGAAAGATCCTTTTTGCGTTGCTACTTTGAGAAAGATTAATCTGTTTACGACAAATGTGTAATATCTTCTGGTGGCAGTTTATAGTTTAAAGTACTGATGATATCGCTACTCTAATGAAGAAAGATTGAGTTGAGGGGGGAGGGGGGGGGGGGAATGGGGGGGGACGAGGATTGAAGGAAACAGTGCTTGGGCTACATGTGTTTCTTGAACAATGTACCCGTACATTTTGGAAAAGAGAACGTCACTATAAGACAGAAACATTGAGAAAGAAAAAGTGTGAAAGATACACCAGTAGTGAGACGCACAACACTATATATATATACAAGAAGCATGTCAAGAATGGTTCTGCTAAATGATTGTGGTTGGATGAGTGGGGAAACGGGGGAAAATGGAAAATTTGAGGACATTTCAGCACAATAGCCAGGTGTTCCGTGTCTCCACGAATGAAACAAATGTTTCAAAGGGTTAGTCCTTCTAGGGTACAGAGTTGACTAGAATACAACAGAGATTACTTTGTAACAAATTGTTATCAAAATGCAATATCAAAATGGTACCGATAATTTCATTTTGATAGAATTCAAAACTGGCGCAACGAAAGGACAAATCTGATTCCAGATCCTGGCAAATCCACTCAAGTACGCCTACTGTAGTTTGCTGTATGGTACATTTACATGCATTATGATTCGCATGAGCTGGAGGAATGAAGAGCAAGTTATTTACTTCAGCTTGAAATCTGAAAAAGATCACAGATTGAAATGAACAGATTTTACTTTTTGAGTAAGCACAGAAAAGCCAGTCTACATATTCGTAGACTTTTAAATAAGCTCAGGTACCCCACAACTTACTCCGGTAAAATAAACAGCAGTTTTTCCCTAAGAGGTAGGAGTAAGCTGAACAGAACGGACAGTTCTTAGTGGAGCTTACACTATATAGCAGAGCAGCATTTTATGCTTTCTTCCTGTATCAAAGATTACGCCTATATTTCAAAAAGTGAAATCATTTTCAGTTCACTGATGGGTTTGACTTTAAAACCATAATTTGATGTGGCCATTTTAGTGAACAACTCATCCTGGTAGTGACCGCAGCAGCTAGATCAGCTAGTCTGTGTACAGATTTGTCATGCTCCCCAGACCTGCTCTTACCTGCCCCTGCCTTTCTTGTGTCGATGCGGAAGTCGAGGTTCTGTCCGTAGAGCCCCCCGCGCAGCCCCTCTCCACTGACCACAACACGATTTGGGTAGGATGCTCCAATCACGTTCACTTTGTATGGGGCACCACGCAGCTGTATGTGGGAGGGGAAGGGTTATAGTGAGAACAAATGTGTGGAACTGCGGTGAAATAAGGCTTTATTGCCATAAATAGCTTGATATCTTGCTGTCATTTTGAAAAAAATAGAAGAAAAAAGAGGTAGAGACTGACCAAAAGTAATTGACCTGAGACTTGAATGGATGGGTGATGGAAAAAGAACTGGACAACACAGTACCGGGTACTAAGCCCTATAGTTGTTGTTTTTTTAATGAGTGGAGTAACTCTTGGATTGGCTGATTTTGGGTCAAGCTATGCAAATCGAAATGTTGGCTGATTCTTTAAGGTCAACCACTTCTCTGTCTAAAAATAGCAAGGAGACAATTCAGAAAAATCATTAGTCATGTCGTAAATTGCCTTTGCAAACATGAGGGTGGGTCAAAATGTAATGAATTTTCACAATAATTGGAGTTTTTCTCAAAATGTACTTATTTTTCAGTTTTTTCTCTACTTCTTCCTTAGTTTTCATCCCTTTTAACATGAAACTTTAATAGGTGGCAAAGCTGCCATCAATGTAACACAGAGATATTGCAGAAAATAACAACACGTTTCCATAGTAGAGGCAAGCGATTATGCAACCAAAATTTAGAAAAGGTAATTATATTCTCTTTTTTTTTCCTTCTTCGTTTGCACGTATTCAAAAATACTCTTTATTACATTGAAAGGGATTGGTTCAGGTATACTCTCACCAAATTTGGTCAAATTTCGTCAGTAAGTACGAAAGCTTTAGGGATTTGACAATTATTGTTTATTTTTAAGAAGGTGGCAGTTCCCATAGCTATAGCAACCGCTGTACATGTAGCTATGCAAAAATAAAAGTAGGTATCGAGAGATTTTTCTATGCCTTATTCATATGTGTACTTAGATTTGATCTTGGGCAACAATTTTTTTTTAAAATTCTGATGCCCGTGCGTGGCGAACAATGCCTGTTCTCTTTAAAATCCACACTTGAAGGCGGAGGAGGAGGAAGAAGAAGAAGAAGAAGAAGGAGAGGAATCACGCATCTTCTAAACTGACACCCCCATGTACCTGTCGTCCATTCCAAGAAATGTTGAGCAGGTAGGCCCCAGGGATCTGAGGGATGTAGGTACAGCGGAACTTGCCCCCGCCCAGCGGTGAAGAGAACACCTTGATCTCCTCGCGGACGCCAGTCAGTTCCACAGTAGGTTCGCCTGGATCAGATCATAATTGTAACATGTTATCCATGCACAAATGATACACATCTACTTATATAGGGAGACTACAGGGGGAAAACGGCAGAATCCCATTTAAAAAAATCATTTTGATTACAGTCTAGTACGAATATAGTGTAATTTGAACATACTCACATAGCGAGCAGATTTTCATGTCTCAGATTTTTTATTTTTTAAAACTACATGTACATAATTAATATGTTTCCATTTACATGCAGAGCAAAATTCCTACATAATGAAAAGATTTCTGCATTGTACGGATTTCTCTAGGTGAGTGTTAACTGCATTTAGATAGATAGATTGACAATCTATTCTGTCAAATTCTTCAAGAGCCAGATCTGAAACAAACAGACGTGAGCAATCATAATACTTTATACTAGAGAAGCCAGGCATGTTTAATTGATTTGACCCGATGATGGATTCATAACACTAGAGGTAAACAAAGCATAACATTTTACAAGCTGGAAAATGGCAAGGTCCATTTAAAAATGCACAGACAGAATTTTACAACCACGTATGAAGTCCCAATTTTTCAAACTATAGAGTCTAAGATTTCTCAAAATCTGTTTAACCTCAACACCAGATTTAACCTGATAGTCTACATGATCATTGATATACTACCCACTAATGAATATCCCTGATTTCAAAATTTCTTTCATCTTGATTTTCTTACAAAAGTAACTAAAACCTACATTAAACATATATACAGTGTGTGTTGTGGGTGTATGAATGTAAACGAAATCTTGGGGGGTTTTTTGGTTATCTCAAAAGTAAACTTTCCGTACTGCACTTTGGACACCACTTTTTTTTAAATTCTAATGAACAGCACCCCAAAAGGAAGCAAGTTTTGTCTTGCATGTTTGGTCCGTTGGATTGATTTCTGTCAAAACTTAAACTGGCAACTCAATAAAACAGACATTATTTTAAAGTGGGCCTAATCCTAGATTTCTTTCAAGTCTTTCAAAATGATTAGAGGCTGTCTATGCTCCCCATATAAAAATGCTTTTAGTCTCAGAACTTTGAACTACGTATTATTTTAGTTTTAGTAAGAGTTTTATGGCACTTGCATCACAATTATGTCATATAAGTGCCAAAGATTAGAGATGTTATAAGAGTGAAACATACACACACAAAAAAAGGAAGAGATGTTTGATAGGAAAGATTAAGGAGCAAACCACACTAGAGCACCAGCTACCCATCCATATTGTATACCCATGCGAGGGTGGTTGGCAGGTGTCCTAGTGTGGTCTGCTCCTACTTTCCTATCAAACATCTTTCGTCCTCATCTCTTCTCCTTTTTTTGTGTCTGTTACTCTCTTGTAACTCTCTAATCTTTGGCACTTATATGCCTTTATTGTATTGAAAATGCCGTAAAACTTTTACTAAAACTAAAAATATACACGTGGGATTTCTCAGTATTAAAAAATCTTATCGAAGTAAGACAAAATACAACTAAACACAAACAACAATTCACATGTTATATGTTCACGGGCATACAACAAAGGAGGTATTACCTGCAAAGATATAAACTGTCACAATGCAGAGGTGCTGTCATAAATTACACATCTAAGCCAAGCAAAACAAGCAGAAACGGGGATGGGTTAGCATGCAGGATACACAACTACAAGCACAAAAAAATAATCAAAATGTGAAAATCAAGCAAAATGAACCAGACAAGGCAGGAGTACCTTTACTTATGTGCCACTCCAAAGCGGTTAACTCTATATGTACTTATGGATACATATTATAGATTTCTTCATAGAGGAATAGCGTAACGTCAAAATGCCAACTGATAATGATAACATTTTTGTTTCATCAGACTACATATTAATCCAAACGCAACATTTTCTTTAACTTCATTTAGAACTATAACAACCACAGGTTTATAATATGCCTGCAAGATGTCTAAATGATCCGTGAGATACAGCAGGTCACTGGTTATGTCATAGAGCAGGGCAATGAGATGGTAAATGTTGTACTTTGCAGTGTTAACAAAAGATTTTGGAGAAAACACAGTAAGCTTTCAAAAACCTACAATGGGAAAGTTGAACAGCCTACCAAGCAAAAGAAGAGATTTGTAAATGCTGGATACCTTTGTTGAATCCCCCCCCCCCCCAAAAAAAACCAAAAAAAAAAACATAACAAATTAATTTTTTGAAATAAATAAATAAACAATAGCCAAAAAAAATAGTACCAAAAAATGCAGACAAGCAAGAAATTTCCCAAACGACTAAAAAAAACCCCACAACTAACATGCAGTGACAGAAAGCAATATCATCGCTACAAGGCACCCGTTAATTTATTCATTCAGTCCCATGGAAAAGATTTTCTTTTTCCAAAGAGGCAAAAGATATTTTTTTACAATGATGAATGATTATCAGAAAGGAAGTTGTTGGGGCTTCCTATCACTGATAGTAGTGATAGTATCAGGAAATCAGTTAAATGGAGAGAGTATAACAACATAGAAATGATTAAGTGAATTTTAATTTTTAATAGTGAAAAAAACTTATTTAATTGTTAACTCAGTTTTACTTTCAAACAGAAATAAAACTATCCAATGATTGCATTCCTGGTAGACGGAAAGAAATAATTGTACTAGTTCTAAAGTGTAAAGGAACCTTTAGACTACCTTATACACATATTATATGAAATTATGATGTCCTTATAGAAGAATAGGCCTAACAAGTTTCAATAGTCTCAACCTAAATAATGTAGTTTCTTAAAATGTGACGTGTGCTAACAAAATGAGTTACTTCTCAGCTTCTAGCCTAATGAAAATTAATGCATCACCTTTATTGGTGGAGTCTGTACAATTTGTAAGTATGGAATAATTTTTTAAAATGGTAGACTTGAACAAAATGGCATCAATTGAAAATCTGTAAATCTGACTCCAGTGTCGATTTTCGACAAATATCTAAATTCTTGGATTGCGAGAAGTAACTTATTTTGTCAGCACGACTCAATGTTTGTTGCCAGTGTCGCAAGAAAAATAAGCACAGTAACTCCATTTCAATCTGATTTACAGGGCTAGATAAAAACATTGGGGATACTCGATCATGTTTCTTGTGACACTCACAATATGGCACTGTTAATTGTTTTTTCCACAAAATAGAGCTGGCAAAGTACAATGTATTAGTTTATCATTTATCAAGGAAACAGTTGGATTTCATCAACATTCCATGTAAGCCTACAGCACAGAAACCAAGCATTTTTTACAAAAAAGCAAAATTTTGTTAAAAATAGACCAAGCATTGGAAAAAGACAGAAGTCAATCAACTTAAATTAGCACTCTTCACTTATAAGACAGATCTATTTCTGATGCTTTTCATTATTTCACACAATATGGTAGCCTACAAATAGTTTTTTTAAAACTAGTAGAATTTATTTAATTACCTATCAGCTTTGTTATCATTCTTTGGTGAAAATTCTGTTTATTGACATGCGCTCAGAAGTGGAGAAACAGGAAATAGGCTAATATGATTAGTGAGTTTAGACTTAAGAGTAAAGTCAAGCAAGTGTCGGTGACACGGGGACCAGATGGGTAGTCACGTGTGTGTGTGTGTGTGTGTGTGTGTGTGTGTGTGTGTGTGTGTGTGTGTGTGTGTGTGTGTGTGTGTGTGTGTGTGTGTGTGTGTGTGTGTGTGTGTGTGTGTGTGTGTGTCGGTGACACGGGGACCAGATGGGTAGTCACTGGAGTGTGTCCTTGAGCAAGACATGACAACCCTTGCTAAAAAAACAGGGCGCTGTACAGTAGCGACCAGCTATGGCAAGGTAGTGAAATTGTTCTGTATTGGTGTATTATTGTGTATTTATGTATGTACATGTGTATGTATTTATGCATGTTATGTATTTATAATTATGTAGACCTATTTATGTTTTGTATGTTTGACAATGTAAATCAAATTGCTCTTCTGGGATCACAAAAGTGTAATTTATTTATTTTATATAAATTTTCCTTAAAATTCATAGTTTTTGCTAAAGCACAATTTAGGCTACAAGGAAAAAGAAAGTGAAAGCCATCAACCAATTAAGTCTTAGTAAAAGCATTAAACCTACACCTGGTGTTCTGTTTGGAGACTATATAGAGCCAATCACCTCTTTACCTCAATGAACAAAATGAATGTTAGGCATGCATAATATGAAGACCACAATGGAAAAACGATCAATGTCAAGAACTAATAATTATTGAGTTAGCGGTACGGCATGTGTAGGACTTCCATAATTTACTTTCCAAATCAGTTAAACTAAACAACAGGCTCACTCCTGATGTATTTGTAAAAATATATGTTTTACTCTCTCTTTGACACAATTCAGGTCATTAGTCTTGATGTAGTGACCCTCTTAATTAAAAGAAGGAAACAAAGATGAACGAAGTAGGCCTACTGGATGTTTTGAATTTAAAAATTTGATTTTCTTAACCCTTTATCTCCGGCAAGCCGCTCCCAGCATCTCGCAGAACTATAAAATAGGTTCACTTGTTTTGATTTAATGACCAATTCAGGGACATTTTTGTCATTTTTAGATTTAGTACTAAAAAAAGGCCCCAGCATAGTGGGTTTACCCATGTAATATATCCCTGTAATATTAGTTAAATGAGCAATAACTGTGTTTGGTTCATTGGCGTAGTTACGTCTCCTTGTTTGAATGTATTAATTTGGTACTCTTCAGGATGAGCAATTAAAGTTATGATTCAGTAGTGTCATAAACATCCAACATGGTCGGTTGCTGTTTTCAGTGTACGATTGCTGTGCTAGACTTTCCGTGTGTATCTTACTTATCACAACCCACCTTGGAGATAAAGAGTTAAAAGCCTTAAGTGAAACTTTGATCCCATTTCAACAGTGGTCTAAGCACATATAGAGAAAGGTAGCGGTAGAGTGTAAAGCACGGCAATCTGTTCAGTGTTAGATCAGGCGTTCAAGTTTGGACAAAAGCCTCACCTGGTCCGGCCTGACTGGCATCGATATAGAACTCTGCCTCCTCCCTGACCACCGCTTCCTTCAGGCCACGACCTGTCAGCCACACCTTGCTGGGGTCAGCCACACCGCTGGTGGCATAGCCCGGGTAGGGAGAGTTGACCAGAGGGTGGTCTGACCAGTACAGGTGGATGTCGTGGACACCTGGAGATATTAGTGAAAGTTTTGATACGTGTGTGAGTTGGAGTAAAGAGAATCCCGGTGGCATCAAGTTTTGATACGTGTGTGAGTTGGAGTAAAGAGAATCCCAGTGGCATCAAGTTTTGATACGTGTGTGAGTTGGAGTAAAGAGGATCCCAGTGGCATAAAGTTTTAGTATGTGTGTGAGTTTGAGTAAAGAGAATCCCAGTGGCATCAAGAATGACCTTTTAGTTCAATTTTTTTTAAAGCAAGACAGACAGACTGAGGGGAGGTAGGAGTAGGGAGGGGAGGGAGGGAGAGTCATAGGCTCAAGCCTTCTGGGTATAGAGCGTTCGGTGGCAGATGTACAGATGAGTTACAGGTCACAACACAACAAC